TTACTAGTTTATCATTCAATGAATCTGAGACATTTTTAGTTTCATGTGGAAAAGATAATTAAATAATTATTTGGATGAATACATAAAATAACAAATGGGAATTTAAATAAATTGTTACAAAATCAATAATGGAATTTGGTACTGAAATTTGTTTCATAAAAGAAAATTAATTTATATGTGTAAGTGAAAATTAAGATGGACAAGATTATATTTGTTTTTTTGAATTATAGAATCAGTAGTTTTAAGAATAATTTAACTAATAAATTAAATTAATATTCAATAATTAAGAATATAATGAACCTTTATTCCCAATTATGTTCAATTAAACAAAGAGAATAATATTATTAAGACATAAATTCAATATATACATACTCTCTCAACAATTTCATAATACATATAGAATTTCTACAAAATTACAATTTTAGCATAATATAATTTAAGGATCTATGACTAATGATGCTTAATATATGGTTTTATGGGAAAAGAGTAATTCATGTTACTTTATATATAAAATAAAGTAAAATTAATATGGATAAGTTTAATAAAATTGATAATTTTATTATTATTCAAAAAGTAAAATATATAATTAATAAAATATGGATCATTTTACCTTCTAATTAAATTCCTAAAAATTAATATCAAAATTAAAAATCATTTGTAAAGTCGAAATATTTATTATAATCTAATTTAAAAATTAATCTTCTAATTTTAAATATAAAATATTGTCTCTCACACCTCAAGGATTAATGGTAAATAATTCATAATTTTATTTAATTTAAAAATTCAATAATTTCTATTAAAGTTGAGATTACAATAAATTTACGTATAGTTTCTCATTTAATGATATTAATTTAATGAGAAACAAAGTAATTGAATCCCTCTAAATGAATATTTGCTAAATTTATATTTATTTTTTAATATTTTATTAATAAATTTAATAAATAAATAATCAAAAATTGATGATAAAATCTTCATTAACCAAGTTTATTCAATTAAAAATTAATTTTATAAACATTGATTTGAGCATACTTAATTTAAAGTATTTAATTTAAAAAGTTACAGCTTCTTCAAACAATATGATCAAAATAAAATGATATGAGCTGACATTGAATTCTAAATTAATAGTGTATTAATTCTATAAGCATTTGCACATTCATTTATTTTACAAATATATTATTAATCTGAATTCTTATACAAAAGCTTCTATTTCCAATAAAATTTTGTTCCATTCACTAGATTTAATTAAAATTATTATTAACCTAATATAATTATGCAAATATTTGGTGATTATTAACATTCAATTTCTGTTGGTTCTATTTTACATAATCTAAACAAACCAAAAATTACTATAATGATATATTTATTAAAACAATAACTTATAAAATAGCATTAATCCTAAAGAGCAAACTAAAGAATATTCTTTTTATCCTCATATCCAAACAAATTGTTTAAATTATATCAAATTTAAAAATAAATTGCCAAATTTAATAAAAAATTTTCACATTTTTTATTTATATCATATGACCGAGGAGTATTTCTATAATCCCTTCACCAACACTCTTAATTCATTTTGCAAAGAGTTACACATAAAGCAATAGAATAATACTCCATTTCTAAAATATTTTGACATTAATAAGGAACGCAATATAAAAAATTTAAATTAAATATGCATGACTTATTAAAATATTTTTTTATAAAATTGATATGTTTGTAATTTTATTTAGTAACATTAAATATTTACATAATTTTATAATCTATATGATTATAATAAGAAGGAGCATTATAACTTTATTGTATTTGCATTTATAGTTTTGTCATATACAATCTTTATTTTTCTTTATTCATCTATATTTATTTCATTTAATTAATTAGGACATGGCTCTTTTTTTTTGGCCTTAACAAAATTTGTAATTTTGTTATACCTCTTTTTGTCTCTTAAAAGGAAAATACTTTTCAAATAGTTACCTTACTTTCTTTTACCTTTCTAATAAAATCCTGCCAATTACATTTATTATTATGATTATATTGAGTTCTAATCATTTAGCCTTTTTAAGCCCCCAATAAAACTAAATTATATTTAATTTTTACTAAAATGGCATTGAAGTTCACCACATTTTGATGTATTCATTCAAGGTAGCAAACCTTTAACTAGTACCAAATGAATATAGGACTCTAAATCATTTGCATGCTTTAATTATACCATTAATGAGATCAGATTGGTATGAAGTGAGTAGTTCCACTTATGGTTTATGAATCATGTATTGAAGCATAAAAACTGACATCAATGAAATAAATAAGGTTTCATTTTGTAGAATTTGACCCATTAATTTCTCCAGCTTAATTTCTCTGTGTCTATTCAAAGATAGATTATCTGACTAATTTATTTACCTCTTAAGAGTGAAGATATCCTAATCTACTAATAGACTGATTCATAAGCATCAAGATAATTTTCAAATTAAATTTAAGATTGCAAAAACTAAACTAAAAATAAATGGTCTTACTTAAATCTATTCATTAATAAATACCTAATTAAATTTCCATAAGCACTCTATTTAGATTTTAGTTTAATCTTCTATATAATAATTTAATTCTAGATTCCTTTTTCACCATTCTATTTGATTAACTCTCCAATTTTAATGACTCTCCTGTAATCTATTTTCTTAAGTTTCAATTTATGAAAACGTAAAACTCTCCCTTAATATAATGAATGCATCATAAATTTTACCAAATGAAGTTTCATTTATTTGGAGCAGATCAAGAAATTAACAAAACTACTTTTCCAAGTAAAGAATCAATCAGCACTTTTAAAAACATGATCAATATTAATTTTTTAATTACATTATAATTAATATGCCATTAAATTATCGCGAATATCATTCATCCATTTGGCTATTCTAATATCTCAAAATTCTAAAGTAGTTGATCAAGTTTTTAAAAAACTGTTTATAAAAATGAATCTATTTCATATTTTTAGAACATCATATTGTAGGCTTAAAAATATAAAGGTTTTCTAGATTTTCATTGCAACAAAAATTGATCAATATCAAATATTTTGTTACTGGTGGCGGTTCTTAATGTCTCAAGTGATTTATTAATGTGTATTCTTAAAGTGACAGAGTTTATTAAAGTATATTAAAAACAAAAAAAATTATTATAATCAGTATACTTTCTTTTACTTTGCTTTTGAATAAATAATAAAATGGTTGACAGGTCAAAAAAAATATATTTTAAACTGATGAATAGTTAAAGAATTCAAAAAAGCTTTTTTTTTTGTAAGCAAAGTAACTAGCATTTATTTATCAATAAAATTAAATGATTAGATCAACTGTTTATGAAGAAAACATGCTTTTTTTTGGTTTGGAAGAGAATTAATTGATATTTAATTTATTTTACCTCCAAGAATTGATGATAATTGGTAATTTATTTAAATTGATAATTATTGAGAAGAGTTTATCAATAATTGAAGAACCATAACACTTTATGGATATATTTATTTTGTGTAATCTGTATTAATTTAAAAAAAACTTTTACATGCCTTATAAAAATCATCCCTCATTAAATGCACATATCAAAATATATTTATGAAAAAGGTTTACAAAGGTCTTCAAAAAATATTTTCTTGGGTTTTTTAATTCTCTCGAATTAGAATAAAATGATATTTCAGATATGTTCAGAATCTGATAGTATGAAAATTTAGTCGTTTCATTTCTTTTTTGTTTCTGCAATTGAATATGATGGAGCAAAGGTAATTATTTCTTTTCTTTTGGATCTCAGGATGTTGTTTATTTTTTTTTAATCTTCATGCTTATTATACCTCTTTAGATTTAGATATAAATAATCCTTTGAACAACATTATTGATATGATTTAATATTATTACCTAATCTAAATGGGTGATAAAATATTTGTTCGTTATTTCTTTTGGAGATAAATAATATTAAATTTCTTTTGTTTAAAATTTTAATTTTCACTACAGGTTAAATATTTAATAACAATGCTTTGAATAATACAATATAATCAGCAAATAATTACTTACTAATAATATTGTTATTCCTATCTTTTTTCTCTTTTGTATTTATTTTATAGATGTAGTTTTAAGCCATTTTTATCAATATATAATAAAAAATAGTTTTAAAATTTACTTTCTATACAATCTCAATTTTACAATCTTTTTTTGCCTAAATACTTAGTTATCTAATTTATCAAGCATCTTTATATTGAATCACTATGAAGATAATCTCAAAAAATATGGATAGTTGCATCATAATGCCTAATCATACAATTTTCCTCGTATAATAAGTCTTTTCAAACTAATTGATATCTAATTATTTGGCAAAATAATGTACAATTTTCCTGAAGTTTATTTATAGTTATTCAACTTTGAGTGGTAGTACTTGATTGCATGGATCTCAGTATCATGTTTTGTGATCCAAATAAGTTTTGCTATGATAATAAAGGAAGAATTTACAAGAAGATTGATATAGAATCAGTATCTTAATAATTCAATAAAACTGATTATGTTTGCAAATTTTTGAGTTGAGAGATTGATTCTATTAAATGTAGTTCTTAAAACACTCCAAAGCTA